CCGGAAAGCCAAAGGCATCTCATGCTTCCAGGAATATGTATTTCTTGTGAAAGTGTTCTACGATCAAGTGAAGTCCTAAGTATTGCGTATCGGAAACCGATTGCTGAAATGTGGCTTGTGTACTAAACAATCAATGTCTTCGTTTCTGTTTTCAGTTTAAGATAGTTATTGTAACCCATTAACATTGTCCCCTTTTGAGTTTGACTTGTATTCTTTAACAATTCCGTCTCCAAATTTTGCAGTATTTACCAATGTTTTAAGCTGCATATATTTGTCCTGTACTACTGCTATTGGACACTGGATAACAACAGCTTCCTAAAAGTAGAGCATTCTCTTCTTTTAAAACTCACGATGCAGCTGTTAATTGCCATTAAATTGGTAATATGTGCATTGCAAAGGTTTCGGATATATTGAAGTCCCCAAACAGATTAATGTATTTTGAGAATCTTGAATAGTTTTCTCACTGTTTGTCTCAATCAATATCATATTTTGATGAAATCAAGTCTCGTTAAATAACCGAATATATCATTTCATTTGGCCAATTAGATTGAAGTTTTCACACAAAAAGTAATTCCCATTGTGTTGAAGGAAGCATAAAGGTTTCTCGATATTTTAATTATTCGTTAGGTAATGATATTGTATTGTGTTTTGCCCTCCTATATCCATACAATTATATATTCAGGAGACTGCGTCTAGAAAGAATGATTTCATTTAAATTTCAGCCTGTTTCTGCGCGAAGAGTCTCCTCTTTTTAGTGAGAACCAGACAATTTAAAATCATCTCAAGAAGTTGCTTTCTTATATCTAAGAGGTTATAGCTACGAAACAGCATTTGAAAATTCAAAAATATTTTTTGTAATCTAGGCTTTTGAAAGTGTTATAATAAAATACCATTGGTTTTTGCTACGAACTCTTTGAATAAATATTCTCTACAATACATTATTTACTGCATACAAATGCTTAATTATTTGTTGTTTGTCAAATTGCAAAGTTGATTCATACTGGGAGCCGTCATGTTTTTGTACACATCCCTTGAACCTGTGTAATGTATTTGACTGTCTTGTATGCTCTAAATATTTACATAACACATGTAGAGAATCAATCTTACAATTGCAATCATCTAAGCTTGCTGGTAACTAATACAGAAAAAAAACAAGAAAATATTTGATTCAATAAAAATAAATAATAGTTCATCACATGTAACAGCTTTTTCACGATGAACCGTCGACATATCTATACGAAACTGACGTCACGGTGTTCACTCGTGCTGTGTCATTTATCATACAATAAACTACGATTTGTAAATACAAATTTAAGGTTTTATTTGTTTTCTTTCAATGTGTGGTATAGAATAGTTGAATAATTTGCAGGTAGATTGTGCCCCACATTTGTTGGATATGAAATATTGTTGATGTCACCGGTTAGCTGTATTAGATAGTAATGGTAATTTTTTATGATTACACTTGTTTCAGATTCAAATTCCTGATCTCATGATGTTTTTATAACAAATGGAATGGTGCTGATTTGTTTATTGTATTTATCGCCCTTTGAACAATCAGTCACTTTGAGGCGGGGTTTCCTCGCAGAAACTTATTCCTAACTCATTGCACAAAATACGGGAGGCCCATTGCATCCAGTGCGATAAGGATCAAGTGTCAAGTCAAAGGACCCAACAACATGGGCACAGTCCGGTCCGTTTCCAAGCTTCTTGAGAAACACGTACCGCAACAGGTTGGAAGAATCGAACCTCGCACCTCGAAACTTCAATTGGGGTTACGCAGCTACCTCTTAGCCTGAACTATCGCGGCCACAAAGATATCTGTACTTTTATAATGCCGGCATAACGAATGAGGCATAAGGTATGTGGCATACAGTTTGTGGCATAATGTATTTTAAAGTATGCTTTGTTATAATGTACCTGCTAATGGCGACGTAATCCCGATGAAAATCCGATGTTTTCCGATCTGTAACTACATTATCACTTTGCCTATAATCAGACAGATGTAACTCTTCAGTAATCTAGATCATTCAGTTGAATAGTTTAAGACAAATAAGCAATAAAGATGAATATTTTACACCCAGGGTGATTTAGATCACTGCGTGTTAGATCGTATTGTATTTGATGCCCTAGAAGTGATTCCATCAGCAAAATCGATTGAAATATAATGGGATGTGGATATCAATTATCCCGAAGGAGATTATGAACATCGGATCCTTCAATAATTGAATTGTCCACACATTAACCATATTCCGTTCTAATTTTAAGGAAAGCTGTTTTGTTTTTTTTCCTTTTAAGAGATTTCTTTTCAAAAACCACGATACAAGAAAACGATTTGAAAACATGTTAGTTCTGTGTTGTCATGAACTCTCCTATGGTGTCACGTGATAACTGGTAATTCATCTGCGGCTTTATCTGTGATCACCTGTCACGAAGAATCACTAGGGGCCTTAAATCATACTGAACATAATTTCATATTTGAAATGATAGAATCAAGCATCTGCATTTATATCACGTCACACGTTTTGAAATCTAAATCTATATCTAACACTGCACATGGATAAAAACCTGAGGTAAAACTACTGTGTTAAAAAACCGTGGACAGTAAACATGTTCGATGAGATTTTTTTAACTGAATGTTTACGTGTACAAACTTTAACATTTACCGATGGACCTATTTAATGATTTATACATAAACAAGACAATCATCGGGATTTAGAAGAAATCCGACCGTTTGGCCAGAAATTACTGGTTATCACGGCGACCCTACAATGTGTCCCTTCTCATTCTGTTATCTTTACGTGTCAAAGCACTTCGTCTCGTTCATACAGTTGTGATAACACGCAACGCACCAAAATCGTCGTGCGCACACACCCACGATTAATATCTAGCGCAGGACTGTGCAAAAGAATCGCACATTTAGTACGGTTTGGTAGAAATGGTTGGTTAATATTACGGATTGAAATTTAAACTGAAAACTCGTGTAATTATGAAGAAATAGCTATCACAGGCGTATTAAAATTAAACGATGATTTGTCTTTTTTCATATGGTTTTACAAGTTGGCAAGTGGTGTGCCTAGGGCAACAAAAATTACCTGTATACGGGTTGATATTTTTTCCAATCAGATGAAAAGTACGATTAGTTTAATATTTGAAGGCGATGCCAACAGATGCTCAAACATCGTACAAAATGTACCAATCAATGCATTACACAACACAACAATTCAAAGTACGAGTAATAATAGATTAAATAACAGACTGACTCACCAGAAAGGAAGGTAAGAAGATACAACATAAATTACCACTGACCGAACCCAGACACAATCAAAGTACTGAAAGTACTGAGAGGCTAAACGTATTGAAAAATATCAAAAAATAACCGCAAAGCTATATCACTTTCCTCATACTCCTACACTTTGGAATGCAAAAATTACTAAAATAAGAGAACCAGAGGCTATTTTTCTTAATTTTAAGCGATTTTATATCTTCCATAATTCTTATTTTTTGAAATTTGACGACAATAATGTGAACAAATCAAAATATGTAAAGAAATAAAAAACAAAACAAAATACACACAACCATATATTTATCGCCAACAAGCCAAATGATAAATAGCTCTATGATGAAGTTGACTAAATAAAATCTTTGAAATCCCCAAGATGTTGCAATTACTATCCTATCAATATGAGGATTTAGACAAATCGAAAGGACTTTATACCTACTTCTCTGTTTCAAATGTATTGCAAAGTAATGGTCCTTACTTATTATAATTATATTCTTAGTTGAGGAAAGTAGACAAGGTGTACACAGCATTTCAGATAGATGAAAGTGTAAATAATTACATTAAATGTATTTACATGCCTATCTTCCTTGAAGTATCATGATTAGATTTTTCTTCTAGTAATTATATCTATAAAGACATAGTTCTATGAGATGAAACTAGACTTCCATATACAAAATTTACAATATTTTCACTATAGCTACTACTATTTCAGATCTCGAATGCATTAGAAAATGTCACAATGTAGGAATAATAACGGACTGAATCCCGAGAAAGGAAGACAAGAGGACAGTGTAGGAATAATAACGGACTGAATCCCGAGAAAGGAAGACAAGAGGACAGTGTTGGAATAATAAGGGACGGAATCACGAGAAAGGAAGACAAGTGGACAGTGTTGGAATAATAACGGACGGAATCCCGAGAAAGGAAGACAAGAGGACAGTGTAGGAATAATAACGGACGGAATCCCGAGAAAGGAAGACAAGAGGACAGTGTAGGAATAATAACGGACGGAATCCCGAGAAAGGAAGACAAGAGGACAGTGTAGGAATACTAACGGATGGAAGGGACACCAGGATCCTGAACATGCAAAATAATAACGAATATAAAAGCGCAATGAGGGAATCAACAAGACTGAATCAGATTATTTTCAACTTAGAGTTTAAAGTGAAAAAGGTCATGGAGTGTAAAAAAAAAGTCTGGAAACTACTATTGCGAAGATTGTTAAATCTAATTTTCTGCTACGTGGCGACAAATCTCGGTGAAACCATTACGAAATATTCAATGCATTTAATCTTTATTACTTCTTTTCTCTATTCTATTTTACTTTCAGTTATTTATTAATGATATTTTGAATGAACACTTCATTACCTTACCGAGGGAATTGTTTAGTATAGAGTCTTTGTAAGCAGGTATGAAACTGAAAAAAGAGGACTAACCACCATTGTTTAATTATCAACTTTTTAATATCTACAAATCTCAGTATATGCTAATGTCACAAACGCATAAACAAATGTATAGAGATTGGCAATAATAAAACGTAAATTCTATATATTAGTATGAAGTTCATTCGTTTACAATTGACATGATTAAAACATTAGAATATGCATACATCATCCATTGCCAACTAGTTTGAAACATTAATACATTTCATTCATGATAACAAAATTGACAAAATTAGAAAATAATGTAAAAAAACAGTTCAAGAAATACAGTTTTATGATCATTCATCTTTGCGTCTGTACAGTTCAGCAAACTCTGAAATATATGAAAATGTAACAAGTTAGGTTAAGCTTTTTTGTATAGGTATAATATATAGATGTGAGGCTGGATGACCCCAGTAATAACACCAACGTCTATCAATTAACCCCCAGGGGTTCGATTCCCCAACTGAGCCGAAATTCCACTAGTACTCTGGTTTCCTCCAACAGCAAATTTTACCACATAATTTAATCTGGAACAACAATTACTATTGGTCTAAGGTGATAAAGTTTATGGTTTATATCAAACTGGTAACAAAAAGCTGTATCAATGTGCATTATTCTTATCTTTAAATAAGTTCCAAAAAGCAATAAAAATTGCTGTAGCAATATTAGATAGCCTAATCTAAAAATACACACGATATTCGTTGTAGAAAAAAGTGAATAAAGCATCATTATTTGAGTTCTATTTTTAATTTTTCTTGAATATGATAAAATGAAACTATATCCAGACACAAGTTTCAAATCTGTTCTTTACTACGATCGATTGGTCAGCTACATTCTATGCTTATGTAAAATTTGACACTTAAGGTGATTGCACCATTTTTAACAAATCTAGAATTGGACACTTTAGCTCCAATCAATGAATCAGTAGAATCAGTATCATACAGCTGTTTTATCTTTCTTAACCTTGGCAGTGGTACTATGGGCCTATATCACTGAAACCTGGAAGCCGACTGATGAATACCCAAACTAAAATCACACTATGTTCAATTTTGATTTAAAATGCTTCGATAAAAAAACAGTTCTTGTTTTCTCAAAGCCACCGAATTCGTGGAAACGAAAAGCTACTGATTTTTCTAACGCTATATTATAACACCACAGTACCTTTCTATTACTGTTATGCCGATAAATTCGCAGAATATAAAAACGGCTTCACACTATACATGTACCATATCAAAGAATGAGCACGAGTACAAATATTGTGTTAATACCAAACTCAAAGCCTTTTTGTGATATTCGGTTCGGACCACCTCGCATCCTCGCGATCTGGCTCTGTTGCCGTTTCGTTGTCACGAGATTGGAGGTTGCGCGTTTGGCCTAACCACCTATCACACATTCCAACTACTCTGTTATTGTTAAATCACGCAGTAAGAGCTTACGAAATTTATTCAATTGGTTAAGAAAAGTCTTCAAATGGCAATAGTGGGTACATCAGAACAATGCCAGAAAACAAAAAAGTGTCTATTAGCATTTCAAACCAGAGGTCATTCCTGGCAATGGTCTCCATAAACAGGAACGAATGGTCTATTTGACAATGGTGATCACCGTCATTTCCCTCCAAACAGCTCTATCTATCGCCACAGAAAACCTATGTATGTGATTCTTACTGATAAATCATTCTCTATCACTTTCTTTCAAGATTTTTCAATACCTTAGAAATCCGTTACAGATACTGCGACTGAGAAAGAATCGATTGTTTAAGTACGGGGTAGTAGATGTAATGATGTCGGTAATAGTTGCTACAATTGGTTTGTGTGTGTTATTTCCATGTAAAGTGTGTTACGGGGATATATCTTATTCTCTCGCAGACAAGATCCAATTTAGCAGTAACAAATAAAATACAATCCCTAAATGTCTAATTGCATTTTCCTTCCGTACATTTTCTAACTATACATGATGTATCAGCTAAAACAATTCCAGTTAACATGTGATATTTGCACAGCAGGCAAAGCATAATTTTACGTTACACTTATATGATATTATAAAACCTGTTATTTTTCATGCGCTGTTTTGCGTTATTAAAATCAACGATAGTACATTCAATGACTCCCGCGAAAATATACAGCTTTAAAACATCACGATTTTGGTAAAACCAGGAAAATTTCAACCATCAAAAACATGTACATACAATGTATATATATTCGTTTCTTGGAGGGTAAATATATTCCCCTCATATATCACAGTAGCAAACCGTTATGTAAATATCTACACATTTCTCGATTTTATCTGTAGTCTGATCAATACCATAAATAAATGAGATAAAATATTTGTAATATTTGAAATCGACATTATGCAGGATGCATTTCAAACACTTAAGCAGATAAATAGCATCTAAGAAAAATGTATTTTTATATTTCTTTCAGTTTTTGATAAATCTGTTGCTGTTATACGGACGCCAATTTGTTATAATGTCAAATGTTTTACGACAACTGGAAAATTGACAATAGTGAGAGGAATCTACAGACGTAAGAATGACAGAATAATTAATATGAGAGAATTGTAGAATAATGATTGGAACACGAGGGACTCTTTGTAAGACCTTATAATACATAAATATCGCATTTTTACAAAAGTAAGATATACTGTATTGTTACCCTCCCTACCGAATGGAAATATATATCGGCATTTTTTTCATAAAGTGCAATAAATTTCATAAAAGTACAAAAGAAGTACAGTGTTTAATGCCTTTTCGCGGAAAAATTGTATGGTTGACATTAAGATTACATTCGAAATATTTTTATTGACAAGTGCAGCACAGAGCTTGCAACTCGACAATTACGTCTACACTGTGTGAATTTATAATAGGTATTTCGAATTTGCTAGCATGACATTAATTTGAATTCTTGATTGATATGAGTCAAAACACCTTATCATGTTACCTTATACACATTTTCTAATATTTCAAAAGATATGTCTTTTGTTCATATTTTTTCGAAAACAATTCTTTATGTTAACTGGTGTTGAACTTACTAACTTATATTCTGTACATTATAAAATTTCTGATTAGGAAGCTAAACCCTTATCCAAATAAAATAGCACCACATACTAACACAGTAACCTAAATACCATTATGCAATATCAAAATTGGTGAGTTTAAGCTACATTTTATACATTTTTGTTTAGGATGCTAAATGTGCCTACGGAAACATAAACAGATGACGTCATGAATCACGCTGTTTTCATCACTTTTTAGACTTACATAGATTACTGAAAATACCCATTCCGGATAAGAATTGGAATCAGTCATCTTCTTCGTTTTCTCTCGCGTTGCAAATTATGTTTGGAAATAGAATTCCGTTAGATTTGTAAATGTACCTCTTTAGTTACCGACGAGTGTATATTGGTATCAGTAATCACCCAAAGGTCTTTATGACATATTTATTTAATCTGCCAGTCAGCCAACCCTCAAACAAATCCGAACTCAAAAGATATATAGGATATTTTTTGTAATACTCTGCTGAACATTTATAATTGGGTTTTCATTTTTTTAGATTTATAACTGTAAGACATTTCATTACATAGCATATCAAGATCTGTTTATTTCCTCATATTATGTTATTTAGTGAGGAAGTCACTAACTACTACAAACGGACTCATAATGACTACAGCTCTACAGAAGGGGGAACTAAGCCAACACGAATACTCTCCTTTTTGACAATTTTTATCTCATTACATTGTAATTTGACTTGTACTACGTATCTCCAAATAATTGTTTTGCATTGTGATATGATTTCCAAAACACTTTATTTAACAATATGTGAATAAAAACGCTGACGGTACAACCTGGTCTAAGTTAGTGCACCGAAGTCTGGATTCGTAGCCAATAGCAACACGTTTGTCTCTTGGGAATAAAGTTGGGGAATCGCGGCTTTGTCAGCCTGATATCAGATGTTCCGGATGTTATTTTGCTTAATTTGTTTGAAAAAAAACTTTCTTATGAAATTGTATTTTACTTTTTTCGAGTCAGCTTTCTAAGATTTAACAGAGGATCAACATACCATTTCACCTCAAGCAGGCCTAGATTTAGTAATAAGAAAAAATAATGATTCATCGGTGAATTTTCAAAACCTGAAACCTATCCTAATCCATTTTTAAATACTTGGGTGGTATTTATAATGGATCAAACAAAATGCAGACGGATTCTCACGGTATTTTTCAATTGCTTGAACATGGAGAATGTGAATCATTCAGAGAAGAGAACAAAAATAGCGCTATTTTGTTCACAGCTTTGCGTGTTTACACCAATAAAAACAAAGAACACAGACCATCTTATGGCAACAACTAATTAAACACAATTATACAGACGAAAGCAAATGTGAGAAACAGAATATTTAACAGTGTTTTTAAGTCTTAACAAATACATTACGCTTGTGTGACTGATACTTTGTTATCTTCACTGATTGTGTACCGTTCGAAAATACCAAAATATTCCCCACTATCAGGAATTCTATCTATAACGGAAGACAGTGTTAACATCCTCTGTATGATTCTTTATAATACAATGAGAAAAGGAAAAACAAGTCGTCAATTAATCGATCTCTTCTACGGTACCCATGTGTACAGGGAGAATACAGCCGGTTGTTTCGGAAGAGTAAGCGTTTTCTGCTCCGTCGATAATATCTGTTATGAAATCAGGCAAATTCCATAACACCATGTGGTAGAACGAGGTCAAAGGTCACGTCAACAAAATCATTCTAACGATTTAAGTTCGTGTCGTACAAGAAAGTAGAACATTTAACAACTATGAGAACTATTAAATTTCGCTCTACATCAGTGATTTGAAGGATATAACAGACAAGTTGCAAAAGTCGGGAGGTTCGGTACCTTTCGAGAGTATTGTCTTGTCACTTTTTGAAGTATTCTCAGAGTCATTGTATCTACCCTTTGATGTTTCAGACAAAGAAAAATAGTCAGAAAATAAGACTCATTTATCAGCTGTTGATCCTGAAAACGAAACTAGATAAACGACCGTCATATGAAATAGTATTATCAGAAAATTTATGTTTTACATAAGTGTGTTAACTATTGGGGGAAAACCGAATAGATATATTGTTTTACTTTTTTTGTTTGATTGGGATAAAAGATTCTGCGGGAATTCGACTGACGTAATCTTTAGAATAAATGAAACTCGCTCCTTATAGTGTGTAAAAAAACTATCACAAAGACATCTTTATTGTAGCGGACTCTGAATGTGTATTGATAGACAGCTATCTATTAGACGTCGTTGGCAAACTTGATACTGTTTTACAATAAAATTGTTTTGTATTTTAGTTTGTTTCTTTTATGTTAGTTTTCTTATATAATACACAAAAATGTATCTACCGAAACCGTACCGCGTTCGATATATATTCCTTTAATATGAATATTATTCATCATTTTTTGTATTACGTGGCTCCGGGATATTGCAACCGGTATGTAAGGAAAGTATTCCAACCGGATTTGGTAAAAGTGTGTGAACGGATGGATCCTATTACATTCATTACTTATACAATCTGTACTTACTACCCTCTGAACTGAGGAGGGGTATAGATAAAGACTCCTGTCATACTTGCCTTTGTAATTCACTCTTCCGTCGCCATTTTTATCTGCGTCATTCACCATTTCTAACGCGGTATCTCGAGATATTCCGAGGGCTTTCGCTATTTCATCACATGTAGCATATCCGTCGCCATTTTCATCCATTGAAGCGAAAACATTTTTCAAATATTGTTCCTCTACGGCATGTGCCTCTAACAGGTCACGCATGAATGCATCGAATTCCTGAAAGTTTAAATAGTCCTTCCCTGTAACAAAGAAATGACATACATTTGTACGTGTAGATCAGATATGACGAATGAAATAAATGAACAACTTTGGTTTAATATTACTTTACGTCCTGTTAACAACCAGGTTCATTTAAGGACATAACTAGGTTTGAGTAGTGGAAGAAACCGGAGATTCCGGAGAAAAACCACCGACATACGGTCAACACCTGCATGTGACTGCCCTACATAGGACTCGAACCCGCGACCCAGAGATGGAGAGCTAGTAATGTTAACTCCTTAACAACTAGAATTAAAAATATCTTATTTCAAATGTTAGGAAAATATCAGAAAAAAAAAAAAAACAAAAACAAAACAAAAATGTTTCAAAACAAGATTTGTCTCCCCTTAAATGATATTAATTGAGATCAGTGGCAAGATTACGGCGTTCAAACATCTTCATAGAATATTGCCGAAGCAACATCAATCTACACACCATTTGATATCGTTAAGGGGTTATCGGTTAAGTGATGTACTATTGCATTCCTGACTAATTCATTTGGGTTTTTTTCACAATTTTTATCCGATATCTATTGACAGTTTTGAATAATTGTGTTTTGATAATGTCACTGTTTGACATAAAGATAATCTGACTTCTAAAAGACTTTTTCTGATTACATGTAACACCTACTCATCTTTATTTAAATAACACATCTCTGATAACGTGCAACATCTTCACATCTTTATTCAAATTAAACATCTCTGTTTACATGTAACACCTACACATAAACACAAACACATCTCCTACCACAACAAAACACACATAACCTACTATATATCGCACATGCGCACACACTCAAATACCAGTGAGAGAGAGAGAGAGAGAGAGAGAGAGAGAGAGAGAGATCTCACAAACATTACTTAATTGTATGCAATATAAATTGTATATAGAAGAATTTTCTGGATATATAACATAGGTATATGTTCACATAATGTCTAAATCAGTTGTAACAAATGACATATTGCTCAAGACAGATAGAGTGATTTTGCTACTGAGAGATAAATACTTATCTGTTTGAATTTGTATGATTTTGCATAGTACGACATATTTTTACATTATCTTCATATGGTAGATAATACTACCATGTAGAGATCTGCAGGTCTAATAAAATTATTTAGTTCTGACTGTTCTCTGAGTCCGATTAAATATTACAAATAAAAAAATAGTGGTAAGTACTTCAACAGGGTGTCCACATTGACAGAAATCTTCATTTTTTTTAAAAGATTATTATTTAAGGCAGCATTTATTTCTAACCTAGAAGCATATTAGCACGGCAAATAATAATATGGAACTAGTGTAGTGGGTCGAAGCTGTTTAAAGAATATTTGTCTAAGTTCAAGTTCAAGTTGGTTTACATAGTGGACTAAATTTTGTTACGTGTGCCTCTGAAATTTAAAGAATAATTTTGTGCATTACGGAGGTTATATTGTGAATTTTCAGATACTGTTTACATCTAACACCTACACATAAACACAAACACATCTCCTTCCACACCCTAACACACACACCCTATCGTATATCGCACATGAGCACACGCTTAGATACCGGTGGGTTGCAGCTTAGAATAGTTTAGCGTGATATCTCACAAACATTACTTAATTGTATGCAATATAAATTGTATGTAGAAGAATTTTCTGGATATATATCATAGGTATATGTTCACATAATGTCTAAATCAGTTGTAACAAATGACATATTGCTCAAGACAGATAAAGTGGTTTTGCTACTGCACAAATAATTATGTTGTTGGCCGTTTGTATGATGGTAAGCATAGTACGACGTATTCAGTTAAGGTATTCTACAAAGAGATCCCACTCAATATTATTCTGACTGTTTAGAGACGATTAAATTCATTGAACAAGCCTACCATAGAATACATAGCAACTTTGAGATCACGAAGAAATCTTCATTTTTTTTAAAGTGGCAGCATTTTCTAAGAAGCAGTCACGGCATCAGTTACCGAAGCTGTTACGCAATATTTGTCACGTGATTTCTTAAGGTGGCTTACATAACTAAATTACGTGTGCCTCTGCAGGCATTTAACCAAAATTGGCCGTCGGATGTTCCAGAAATCCTTGACAACCCGGAAATGACAGCGGGATCATATACTTCATTAGAAAGGACTGCCTGCTTCAGACGATCGTCTCGCAGCGTGTGAATCCGTCAAACCGTCTCTTACCAGCACGCGCTAATCATATTTGTTTCAATTAAGCGCCATTTAATCATTTTTTAAACAAACTGTAACTTCCACCGTGAAAGGTATCACTCCAAAAGATCTTTTTTTTTTTTTTTTTTTGGTTAAAATTGGGGACCTAGATATGGTTCACTTTTACAAATTACTTAATGTCATATCAACAGCTAGGGTCATTTGAGAACGGTCTCTCGGTACAAGTGCATTGGATACCATATCTATAATATAAACTTGTACAATGTACAATGTATCAGTACGTGAAGATCGCCACTTAGCACTCTACATAAAGTATAATGTTGATTTGGTTTACTGTTACTTTACGCCCTATTAACAGGAAAGCAGGAGTTAGCGGAGAAAACAAAAACGACCTGTGACCAATAATAGATGAAGCCCTCGAACCCGCAACCGAGAGGTTGAGGGCTAGTTATGAGAACGCCCTTAGGCCTTTTTTTCAATAGTACCTGATGGAGACCTCGAACCCGCAACCCCCAAAGTACACTGTTATTACTTCCACATATGAAAAGGATAGAAAATACAAACATGCACAAAACATGGATCTTACTTCTATTTATCACAATACCCTCTCTGTCATCATTTTTTTTCTCTTATAAAGGCTTATGCTGACTTAGCAAATAAATTGAGCGTTGTTGGCTTTTTAACGCACATCTTTGGACTGCTATGAAACTAGTCGATGTATATGTACGATAGAAATATACCGTTATTTATCCTCAGAATCTGAAAGACTTAAATTTTGAGATTGAGGGAACTTACCACATTCGTCCATGGTTTTCATCATGGTTGTCATATGTTCTGTGTTGACACGCACACCCATGGTCTTACAAGCTCTCTTTAGCTCGTGTTTGGACAGTCGACCATCCCCGTTACCATCGATGTCCCGAAATATCGTCTTAATTTCTGGCAACATCAGCGTAATGTATTACATTAAATCTAAACACCACAGATGCATCGTCAATATATCTGTCTATGTATATAAGTTTTTAAGAAAATCCGGCAAATATCAGGCAAATTATCACAATATCTGGATGTTATGAAAGATAATAATATTCTTGAAGACAATTACAAATATTGCTGGTATATCTAACATTGTCCTATGTCTCTCTGTTGGCTCTTTAAAATTGATTGTGTATTCGTGTTGAGGTCAGGTTTATTTTCAAATAATATTTGCATGTCTATGTGACAGTATATTGCAATGATAAATTCATGTGATTTTTTCCATCTTGCCTTCTTAAATTCCAGATCATAGTATATTTGACTTTGGCCTGTTTCGAGAATGACGTTGTACCAGCGATCGGAAATCATCGGCACCTTCCGTATACGCCGATGATTTCCGAATGAGAGTTACATACAGACGAAAAAGTACCTTTCGATGGTATATTTTGAAATCACCGATAACTACATATTTTAAATGCAAATATACGCATTGAACGGGTTATTTGCAAATCGCGTACATCAATATTTAAAATGTTTTTGCCAAAGGGATATTATTGAATAGAGTTTTTCTTATACACAAAGATTACAAGACAACTTCGTGGAATCTCCGTCTGAATGTTGGACAGAACAGAAGCCGTGCCGTGGAGGAACACTCCCAGTAGTCTTAATAAAACACGAATAAAAGATCACCAAACACAGGCAAGTTCCAATTTCATCAAATAACATTTAAGTAAAATGTATTGAAAACACATTCAGATCGAAATCTTGATACAACAAAATTAGAATCCAAAATGCATTAACTGATTTGTCAACTCTGCGCTGGCGCCCAAACGGAGTCGTTTACAATCCGTTATCCTCACATCAGAAAAATAAATTGAAGATGCATTTTTTTTTTTTTTTTTTTTTTAATTTTGTGTCGTTACAAAACATTCTAGAATTCCCTTCGCTGTGTATTTTATTTCTTTTTTAAAGAAGAAGTGTCGATTTTGTTTGACTATTCGGAGTATTTTGTTGAAATTGCTTAATAATATTGTTAATATACTCATAAAAACAGCTCTCCGACATTATCAACACTATCTAACATCCCTGAGCAATTGGTATTGAATCCATTAGTAAAATTAGAAAGACGACAAATGTCGAAGTGACCTTGACGGTTGTGTTGTAAAGATATATGTATTATACTCACTTTTCAAATCTTCTGCTGTTAAAAACTCTGTATCTGCCTACAATTATATGTATATATGAAAAGGTAAGTACTTGTTTTTATCTCTATGTTTCGTTCAGGAAACAAGCCTGGAAATGAAAATGTTAAAAAAACCAGATATGTAATAACGTCGAAAAGAAATATGTTTAGATTAAAATATTCCAAACATAGATGTGAAGATTTTAATGTTTCACTGGACAGTTGTAACAACGATCTTTACAGGTACACATGTTAACCATGTTCTCGACATCACATGTATCGGCAACTTTCTCAGGATAGTTGTAAACATTGACAGAATATGTGTACATTGTAACCTATTTTTATAATATTCTATTAAACATAATTAGAACCCAATGATTTTGATCTCGGCATTAATATATTAACGAGGTATCAATCCGTTATCATTGCATGCTACAAGCTTAATATCTCTGCTCTAGAACTCTTAATATCTCTGCTCTAGAACTCTTAATATCTCTGCTCTAGAACGCTTAATATCTCCGCTCTAGAACTCTTAATATCTCTGCTCTAGAACTCTTAATATCTCTGCTCTAGAACTCTCTGTTGTTTAAAAACTTCACTGAAAAGAATGAAAAAAGCGGACGGATCTCAGACGGTCACTTTAAAAGTATAATAATGTGAGATTTGTATACAATGATCTGCTAACAAATCGGACAACGAATCTAATATGGATGTTTAAACGCACATAAAGCGAACAACGTCAGAATGATGAACAGCCATGAAAATCAATACTGCGGAAATCAAATAGAAAGAATTCACAGAAATAGTAAAGATTCTTTTAAACTTTTTCCTTTTAAAATTTGGAAGGAAAACTACATCTTCTAGCGAAATAACGAACACAGCAGCTGAGGACAACATTGATTTTGAAAATAAAAACGAAAATATATGTATATTTACCATTTTTCTGGCTTATGTCCGTGCTAATTAAAATCCCGACTTTCCACTTCTCACTAGTACATCTGAGGAAGTTCCTTTGCGTTCTTATCTAAAGAATCTGAATTAAATACAGCATACAATGGACTGATACAATAACACGCATGCTAGGTGTTTAAATATGTATTCAGTCACGCCTTTTTGAACATGTCATTAACACAAGGCTATGAAAAGTATTAATCCATACTTAAGTAGTGTAGTATGTGATTAAACGATTAATATGGATAGATCTTAAGTAATCGAAAAAAGTCCGAAAAGTTCCGAGATTTAACACCTGACAAGAAAACAAGAACAATAGTTTACAAAGTCATATTTGTTTACTGTAAATATCTTAGATTTCGCGAATAAGTTATTTCGAGAAAGCTGATCTAGAAATCACTTTGAATTCGAGAATGATGATCTGTTGGAGATATGGACACTGCGAGACTCCGATCTCGGTAACCGCGTCAAAATGGATGCCATCCAGAATTATTATCCTACAGTGTAGCAATTATTGAAAGGAATTTGAATTCGCGATTGAGTAGCATCGCGTATTAACGCGAACAAAAATCCCACGCGAATTATAAATGATTTACGGCACTTTATTTCTATCGTGATAAACATTCCTTAGCACATATAACAATAATAAAATTGAAATATTGAAAATATTAAAAAATTTGAACAATTGATATCAACTTGGGTGTTCAGTAATGTTGGGGGAGTATTGCCAGATAATCCTAATTTTTAGCCGGACGAGGAGAATTTCAAAAGTTTTCATTTTTTAAGTTTATGGGTGTTTGGTGAACTTGTTTGTCATGTGTTAAGTTACACATGTGAACAATTCGCCGAAGGTAACAAAAATACTACATTTGAAATTGTAATAAGTGAATATGTAGATTTAAATTGTCAACTAAAATAAGTGTATTCATGTGAAAAAAAGTAGTTTTTTAAACAATTATTTAAATCTAGAGTGAGGCTTATAATATACAGGATAGCTGTAGTGTGTTTGCTGACTTGGTGTACTGTATTTGCTGACTTTGTGTACTGTGTTTGCTGACTTGGTGTGGTGTGATTGCTGACTTGGTGTGGTGTATTTGCTGACTTGGTGTGGTGTGTTTGCTGACATGTACTGTGTTTGCTGACTTGGTGTAGTGTGTTTACTGACATGGTGTAGTGTGTTTGCTGACGTAGTGTAGTGTATTTGCTGACTTGGTGTAGTGTGTTTGCTGGCTTGGTGTCATGTGTTTGCTGACTTGGTAAAGTGTGCTTGTTAACTTAACAAGGACAGATGTAATTTACTTTAAAATAGATTTGATCCGATATAGATGATTCTAAATTCTTTTAAATGCGTTCCTGGTCTCTTGACAGTGGTTTCAATGGCAAATAATGACAAAGAGATGAGTCAGCATGTTTTTCCAACTTAGCAGTAACCTCTTCCAAAATAATACAAGACAAATCAAAAAATGAAAAGTTCGAAATTTGTAATATACACATTGCCACATCGATACAATTAATATAGATTTTAACAACCGGTAGAGATAGATGGGGGTGGCTTTTTTAATTTCAGCTAACATATTTTCAAATATGTCAGATATCGAGGAAAACGTCTTTATGGATTTTGATAGTTTTTCCCTCCGATACAGACACCACATATCAAAACTGACTACTACACCAAACATCCTATGCCATAGGTAGCTTGCTCCAAGTACAACACATTCCTTTTGAATATATCGTTACAGATGTACCGTCTATATCGGAAAAGACCTTAAACTCGACCTTAAACATTCAAAATACATTCAATTAAGGTATAACTAAAATTAAGATTACTAGTGAAAATACAACAATATTTCTAGGAAGCCGTTAACAGAGATAATTGAAGGAAAGTAGAGTGTGGGGAGGGGGAGAGGAGGGGGGTCATGAGAATCAATGAAATATGGAAGCAGGGTAATAACTCAAAGCTAATACTGCTACAACGCGTTATTGTATCGTCTGTACTAAAAGGGAAGATGCATGTCACATCTATTCCATACACACGTAAATCATACCTGGAAGTTACATACGTAAATTACACATATAAATTTCACTCATGTAAATTACACAAATTATACACATGTAAATTCCACATGAAAATTATACAAGTGTAAATTACACAAATTATTGATTATTGTTGATCCCACAATATGCTTTCCGTATTTTTATTTATTTTTTTTTTTTTTTTTCGTTTATAAAATTCATATACATTCTTTTATTATTTTTTAACCAACAAAGCTGTTAGCATGTTGCTTTGGTTTGTTATTTGTGTTTGTTTGCTTGTTTGTTTATTTCATTTCTTTTCTTTTTTGTGTGTTTTTGGTTGTTTAGGTTTTTTCAGCATGAATGTGAATAATTCATAGGTATGTTTCTTGTGTATATGTGTAACTGTCATGCTGCAACATTCATGATACCTTCACCATCTGAGGCGAGCAACTACGAATATCATATACATAAACATAGTGTATAGAATATAAAGGTATTATTAACCATTGTAACTATTATGTATTCTTGGATAAATAGAATAAAACACTTCCAGAGTAGTCCGAATTATCCTGACGTTGTATCGACTTTTTATATCGTTCTGGAGTCGATAAACATTAAAAACCTCTATCTAAAGTGAGCGAAAGAAACGACCAGAGCCTGGGTCGCCATTGAAACGATATCTGTAAAAAGAAATCATCATTTTCACGTGCATATCGCACGTGGATCGAATGGTCTCAAGAACGATATAAAAAAAAGTCGATAGACTATCAGAATTATTCAGACATTATCCAGACGTATTTAAAAAAATCACAGACTATATGAGTATACTCGTGGACTCGACAACTGGGTCGTTATTCAACACTATTACCGTTAATTATAAGTATACGCCTTTTTGAAGGACGGCGAGACGGATTACTGATATGACCGCATCAATAATTACTTTTTTTTATTTCGATATAAATTGGACAAATCGGATTAAGGCTTAAGAAAGGTGTGAAGAAGTTGGTTAACAGTCTTAAATGTTGTTAACTCGATTTCCAGAAATAAAGAACTGTTAGCGCAGTAGTTGTTCCACAAAAAGTAGAAATACATTTATATACACTGATCATAAAATGCTTCCGGAAATATTTCTTTGAATATCGTCAAAAACGTGCTTAAACGAAAAATAGTTTTTGCTTTCAAGTTGAAAAAAACGACAAAAATAAAGTAGTAATCTTCCATTAAGTTGATGAAGTAATGCATCGGTGGGTCTCTGCATTATTTACATATTTGACAAGAGGTTTATCAAAGGTCAACAAATTAAATCTCTCGAGGTACTTTGGCGTATATAAGAAATTAATACAGATTAAAGCGTTCAGACTACACAACATCGGATATTTCACCTTTAAAGGGAAATCTGTATGTGTGGTTTTGACAGAAAACAAAATGAAGTTAGATAAAGGATATTTGATTCGGTTTTATATATACAATCTTAACAACATTACAGTACCTTATCTAGCTTAGCATATCAACGACAAAGCAAAGTTTATAAAGGGGAAATTGGAAGGCGATCTCTGAAATCCGAATATTCCATTATCGTATATCGGATATCGTATTTCTATAAGTATTGATCGTGTAATGTGTATCAAGTTTTGTTGCATTAAAGTAAACAGCTGATCAGGTTATATATATAAATCGGGGGTACATCATCGGGCATAACTCAGCGTAATTTCAATGTCAGATAAACAGAGAACGGAATATTGTTGACGTTTCGACAAATTTTTTTTAAATGTTGCGTGATAAATAAAATGTGTTATCAACGTCTTAAAAATCAGCTTCATTGTTAGCTTGGGAAGAAAAAGTTACTCTCCAAACGATCACCACTTTTGTTTTCTCTTCACTTCGCAAAAATACAGCTTATATTTCAAGATATTCTATACATATGCACACACACACACCACACACCACACACACACACACACCCACACACATAGTATACATTACACAAGTGTGATCTCTTACTCGGGAAACGAAGTTTGTATTCATTGTGTTTTTTCTTTAAGATAACCTGTATTACAGTGTAAACTGACGCTTTCAGTGTGCGTTTACATTTTCCATGAATTATGTATAATCGTTACAAAAGCTCATCCTGGATTTAATTATCTGTTAGTAGCTGGTCACGTGTAATTAAATGAAATATAATAAAGTTCATTTTAACATTTTACTACGATTGAATCAGAATTTCTAAAAAAAAAAAGGGGGTTAATAGGAAAAAAATGTAATACATACATCTACTGCTCTTTTCACTCTCAAATTTAAAAAACTGACTTTTCTAGTCCTTGTGTATAACTTTTTTTTATAATATGTAGTTTTTGATCAAGCTAAGACCAGAAATATAGAGTAAAATCTAATTTAGACATAGTGAGGTTTTAAATGTCCCCTTTTAATACAGACTCTCCCCCACCATCCTCCCTTAAGTATTTTTCTTATATTGGTCTCATGAAATCGTCTGTGTGGGTGTAGCGTCATTAGCATACACGGTGCTGAATCACTTAAAATTCAATGCAATCTATAAAAGCAACCTATCGAAAGGTATTCACATTTAAAATAACCTACTACGAAGCAATATTTTCGCAAAGATTAAAAGGAAAAATAAAGCTGAAATATGGGGAGATTTTGAAGCTAATGGGTTCTGGTGTAGTGAATCTGTTTTACATATTTACATACGTTCAGTATACGTTACCTTTCTCATGATACACAATGATATCATCTAAACATAGTTAAACACAATAAGTCGAACAAGTGTGGAAACCGAATTTGATTATCACAATTTACAAAATTTAATGCCCGACATTACTTTGCTGTCTGATTCCGTTAGTATTCTTAAAGTGGCGTATTTTGAAATGAATGGTTTGAAACACCGCGTCGAAGATTTTTCCTGTTGTATATATAGATTACAAAAGCAGGATTTCAACACGTCTTCAAAACCAAGCCAAGTGTGATTTTCCTGGAAAGCCTGGATTGTCACATGAACAAAGCTCCCAAAGATAGTGTTCTCTTTGTCCCTATATTCTATATCGCCGTTCAAAAGTCGAACGTTCTACGTCCGTTACGGTCTGCTGAATTTCGATACACCCTTGAGATTTATGTTTAGTTTGTGAAGTTTTGTTTTAGTCTGTGGTATTTATCAATTTATTCTTTTCTGTGCATGATGTTAATCTATATGCGTGGTTCCAACAGGCTTTTTTAATCCGTTTATTGAATTTCCAATTAGTTAGCGTCAATTGCATCCGGTCGATATGTGGTATGATCTAGAGACACTAAGTATGGGTGTCATTCACATTAGTTTATGAAGACATATTTAATATAACTTCGAAAAATTAATGACATCACGACAGTATTTGTTCTCCTAATACTGAGAACATTATGTTTTTGTATTTGTGTACATCGGAAAAAATCGAATATTTCCATAATACCAAACACTGTAACCCACGCCCCTTCCCCCACACACACATGAACATAGCACCATCACTCATTAACACCCACCCAGCGCGCGCGCGCCGCGCGCGCGCGCGCGCGCGCGCCGCACACACACACACGCCTGCGCGCGCGCGCGCGCGCGCGCGCGCGCGCGCGCGCGCGCGCGCGCGCGCGCGCGCGCGCGCACACACCACACGCGCGCGCGCGCGCGCGCGCGCGCGCGCGCGCGCGCGCGCGCGCGCGCGCGCGCGCGCGCGCGCGCGCCGCGCGCGCGCGCGCGCGCGCGCGCGCGCGCGCGCGTGGCCTCCTCTGGCACGCCTCGTCTCACACGTCTAGCATCCTCTCCTGGCGCGCGCGCGCGCGCGCGCGCGCGCGCGCGCGCGCCATTCATCCACACACGCACACACACACCGCGCGCGCACATCACACACACGCACACACACACCACCACACTCACACACACACACACACACACACACACACACACACACACACACACACACACACAAACACTCTCTCACACACATACATATATATTGGTACGTAATAGTGCTACACTTAACACTGTGTCATCCACCACAGCTTATCAATAAATTTTGCAGCACCAAACACTTAATATAGATACACAATTCATTTTAAAACATTTCATTCAACGCAATAAGTGTCTTTTCCCAAAAAACAAATCATTACAATCTTATTCGAACTCAAATTCTGTAATAATAGGACAAAATATGAACAAATGAAATATTCACACGGAATCCAATGAGACAAGACAAGGAGAATATGACCACTTGTTCCAAAAGGATAAGCGTCTTCTGCTTCATTTACAGAACCCGTCATGTAAGTCTTTGTCAATGAGACCATGGTAATAGCGACGGAACCACTAGACAGATAGATAATCATATCCTTCAGGCTTAATGTATGTTTTTGTTGGAAAATAAGACCAGGACCCCTATTCGCAAAGCAGTGCTCATACACTGTAAACTTCTGGGATAAAGGTTACACCAAAAAAGGTGGCAGCTGTTGCGGTGCAACTTTACACCATCTCATGAGATTACACCACAGGTGTAAACTCGCGATATTGGTGTATAGTTACACCAAGAAAGATTTAGCTGTGGTGCCACCTTTTTTGGTGTAACCTTCTTCTAAGTACAAGTGTTTATTTTGTGCTTTATCGGTGTTACCGTCACCCTTTACCGGTGTTACCTTCATCCTTTATCGGTGTTACCTTCATCCTTTATCAGTGTTACTTAAACTCCAACTAGGGTAACCTTAATTTATAATCAGTGTAAGCTTCATGCTATATCAATTATTTTTATTTCGGGTCGTCTCTATTAGGGGTATACATGTTTGCGGTGGTAAATGTTTGCGCTTGTGTATGAATGAGTACCACAGTATTCAGGCAAATGATAAATATGAAAAAAGTTTTACAGGTATTTAATTTCGTGCTACCTTTAACAGCCACAAATAGAGCGAAATCAAATCCTCTGTGAATATTGCCAACTTCACAATATATTAAAACCTCTTCCATCTAAACACAACAAAATTGTAATAAGTCATCTGTCTCAAATCCCTCTGGTCTTTATTTCTATGGTGCAAAACATTATATTACCAATATATTTACAATGTTCAGTAACTACATAAGGTATCAGTAATATTTTCCGTGTAAAGGTAAAGCAATGAGACACAGAAAAAAACAGAAATTACAAAGATCTTGCATCACTAGATTCTGGACATACCAATATCGTCTATGGACTTGGGGAAGTCAAAACATCTTATGGCTAGCGTAATGTGCTCGGTTTTTCAGCTTCTTACTCGCACAAACGCATTAATATCATCTGAGTGACCCGTTTGTTTTTGCAGCAAAAGCCCTGTTCCTTAAGAGGTCAGAGCTATTCGTTCAAACATGCGTCTATGTACTGAAAGCATATGGCTTAACTGATGATGGTGACTATTGCAAATACAGATTTTGCATTTTATTTTAATTGTCCATTATATTCGACAACAAACTTTTAGGTATGTCCACATTTCATAAATCCGGGTTTAACAGGCAAAATCAAATGGCATTCAACGTGAGGCTAAGTATACTGTACCCAAAATGGAACGCTACCCAATATCTTATCTTGCAATACGGAGAGTCACAACGTTGTCCGATCGAAAAGTAGGCCTGCATCAAAAGTTAACTGCAGTTTGCTCTTGGTGTGGTAATAACTAACATGTTTATGTGAGGATTTGATTTTGTGTCCGAGTGTCCCTCACGGTGTAAAGTTACACCAAAGACATCTCTACTTACGCTTTCATTGAATATGGTGTTAAGTAATCACTCCATACGGTGTTCGGTAACACATCTAAATGTGATTTGTTGTAAAGGCTTAACATGTAAAGTAACCTTTATCAGAGACGATTTCGTGTAAAGACAGTCCCGCGCGGCCGTAAAGTAACACATCTCGGTGACGATTTGGTATAGCGTAGCCCTGTTCGGTGTAACATAAGACTTTTCGGTGACGATTTGGTGTAACGTCGCTCCACACTGTGTAAAGTGACAGGTTTCAGTACTGATTTGGTGTAAAAGTCTTTCCCTTACTGTGTAAAATAGCACTTTTAAGTGAATATTTGGTGTAATGCCGCATCCATGCGATGCAAGGAAACATTAAAAGTATCGATTAGGTGTAAAATCACCCCTTACGGTGTAAAGTAACACTTTTAGGCGAGATTCTGGTGTAAAGTCACTCTCTTATGGTGTAAAGTAACACTTTTAGGTGAGAATCTGGTGTAAAGTCACTCTCTTATGGTGTAAAGTAACACTTTTAGGTGAGAATCTGGTGTAAAGTCATTCTCTTACGGTGTAAAGTAACACTTTTAGGTGAGATTCTGGTGTAAAGTCACCCCCTTACGATGTAAGATAACGCATTTACACCCGATTTATGATCGAAGTAACACCAAATGTCTGTATACTATACACGTTTCTTTGTTGTGATTAACTTTACATCAGAAATGGTGTAACCATAAATTTTACACCAAAATAGGAGTGAATTTACACGTTAAAAACACCATATATGGACAAACGTAACACTAAAAGTTTACAGTGTACTGAAACTCCGAGGTGTTATACTCAAGTTTGCTCGAGTACTTACCATAATCAAGATGTTTCCCATCATGGCGACGGGACGACTAATTTATAGAGGATGCCATAAAAATTTAAGTTACGGCAAGGGTTTTTTTTTTTGGGGGGGGGGGGGAGTGTTGTCAAAATTCTTCTTGAAACATCGCTTTTGATTACAACCTTCCACCATTCTGTTTATTGTTTATTTGTTTCACAATAAAATCGTGGTTATAACTATTTCTATCCCGCTGATTTTTGCAACTGGCTAATTCCAAAATTCTCAATTTTTGGGTGTTTCGAAAGAGCAAGCGTCTTCTGCTTCACTGACGCTAATACCAGACTATGTTTTATAACTTTAACATTTGATCTAGACAAGCTAGGAAAAGACTGAATATCTTTAATCATTCTTGTCACAAAATGTTTTTATTATCAATATTCTTTCTCCTCTGCTAAATGCAATATCGATGTAATGTTGTCAGGTACATGGTAACAATTTTTTCTGTACATTTCCTGGAATAGTGTAGCTGACATGGCACTCTCTGGTTTAATGTTAAAGGGCAAAAGAAGAGTACAAATTGAATGTCCATAGTTTTTTTTTTATGTAATTTATTTTTCTGCTGTTGCATGACCGAGGGTAGCGCTGCAAAGATACAAAAGCCTAACGCGGTTAATCAATACATAGCTAACATCGTGTATTTATGTGCACTTTAGACTCGAAAATTCTGTTTCCCCTCAGGTAAAATGTATACATTGTATGCTGGGAAACATGTTAAAGTCTCCAATTCTTAAAAAAGATAGACGCAACATCTTTAAGTAATACAAAAACTTCAATAATAAACAACATGTCTGATTGATGAAATAAACATGTCTGTACTGTTGCTATATAAGACCCATGAGAGTTAAAGGTGTATACGACACGTAATGATGGTTGCTGTTGGGGAGAGAAATGGGTTTTCACCACCATTATTTCATCCGTCTGAACTGTAAATCCTTTATATTTTATCATTCTTCTGTTCAAATAAATGTTGTTTTTGGGTAATGCCGTAAAACTGCTATTTGAAAATGATAAATAATTTAACATTATTGTCACGTGACAACTATGTATTTATATACATAGCATTGGACGCCGTAGAGGGCGCTGTTCATTGTACTATGTTTAACATTATAACACATTAAAACTGTCACCATTATTAGTTCCAACAATAGCCACGGCTTATATTAGTTTCGCAGTCACTATACCGAAAATTACAGTACAGATGGTATATATGTCTCTTTCAATAACAGTATATTGGCATTTATCGAAACTGTCGTGTTTTATTTCACTGCAAACATAAAATTTCAGTGGTATCATACTTTGTTAACCCCCAGACAGTGAGAGAGAAGACTGTTCGTTCGATATCGTGATAACAGATAGAGACGTACGAACGCAATCGTCACATTGTAGTCATCTTAACTCCAGAATTTTCAGACATTTTAAGATTTATGGATACTGACAAATCCTGGAAATATCTTGGATTTATTTATTATTGAGTAAAATGCAGAGCACATTAAGTTTCTCGCGAAGCACAGTTTGTGAAAAACTCCCAAATGTAAAACAAACAAAGTGAAAATAAAATAACTATGCTTGGTACGGACATACCCACGGTAGATAAGTGTGGGGTTTCGTCTAATCATGCTCTTAAGAGATAATAGATATCGTATCATGTATGTATTTGTACCCTGTCACATTCAAAGTTTGGTTAGTCCAGCAGTGACAAATATCTTAATTCTGACAGCACATTATGGAAGGGCTTGCATATTTTTATTTCACAAGTGAAATTCTTAAAACGGGAAATCACGATTTTGAAAACATACTTAATACGATGGGTTGAAATGTAAAGCGAATATCCACGAAATAAAATTTTGAAGTCAGTGTACTTGGCTGAAAGAACAAAACAGTCTGAAAGGTAAAATCAAAATGACCTTGATTATTGAAACGTCACTTCCGGTTGGGATTGTTTAGTGACAGAGGCGTCTGCCAAGTTTTATAAGATATTCATGATGGCGAATTATAAAACTTTGTTCGTTTCCGTGATCTTAATGGCGTGTGTGACATCCTCATTTCAGAGAGTAACAGTCGAGATTTTAACACCGACAAAAACTGGACCGGAAGTAGGATTGATAATTGTTCCTGGCGCTTACATAGATGGCAGTGCCTATAAACCACTCGGTAAGATTTCTAGTTTGTAGTAAAATGGTATCCTTATTGTATATTATTAATCTCTGGGTATCGAAATAAACTCATGTTGATGTCTCAACCACGATCTCTAAAGCAATATGATTCCTCCATGTAATACTATCTCCGGGTTATAAAGACTCAAATGTGTTTTATGAGGCTATCGGGAAACATCAGTTCCTAATATCTTGGAAACGTCCTCTATATTCTCGTATGTCTCTTCAGAGTACAGTTTATCAGTGAGTGAGAACGCCGTTGATAGTGTTGGTAAAGTGCACCGAAGACAAACTGATTTGAATATGAAGATATATAGTGTACATTATTTGAGTGTAAAACCTGTCCGAAAACTTAATGCGCTAGATAATATTTTTTGCAGATATTTTACAAGCACATTCTTGTATTTACAAGGACAAGAGAAAAATGATCTTTCTACCTCGGGAAAATGGCGGTTTGATCTTGTTCGTACATGTTTCTTGTCGAAAGCGATGTAAAAAGTTTATCTTTCTTACATAAATATACATTAATATAGTTTAAATAGGAAGCGATATTTAGATGTGATTCTAAAAACATCTATCTTATCATTTGCTGTTATAATGAAGTGTTATATAGGATCTAGCTTGCTGTCTAATCCTATTTATTGTTTATATCAATAATATGTTCTGAAATGAAAAATGAAAATGGCGTCAAATACTGCTTCTGTCGCAAAATGATTATTTGATTGAACTCGCGGCTGTTGTATTTGGCAATTTTTTCATTCCTTAAATATTGACAATTGCTTATGTATCTAAAACGTCACCAATCACAATGATAACAAAACAAACAAAAAGCAGAAAACGACGTCATCACTATACATACCGTACTCGTGCCACAGTCGTATAATTCATAAGAGAATGTAATGACTTATTGGTATATTTTTATGTCTATCACCGTTTGCTGTCCGCAACGTTTCCTATAAAACGCTAGTTCTCAAAAAACACCTTAGCTGGTTTCAGTAAATTCAATCTGAAACACCGCCGGGAAAGGCAAGCATTTCAAAACCTCTGGGGGAAAGGAGACGAAACCCCAAGTAGGAGAACGAGAATAGATCATTCTAAATAAAATTATAAAAGGTTGTTCGGTGTAAATACATACATGTAAGTAGTTTAACCAAATTTAGTCTGTCATAGCATAGATAAAGTTTGTTGGCTACTTGGACGAGACAAAAAGAGGCGATGATATCTATCTATTTATCTATATATTTATTTGTTTGTTTGTTTATTTATCTATTTGTTTATTTATCTATTTCCGTGATTTCATATTACAAGTTGCTCCAGTTAAGGTGTCATGTACATATGCAGTATACTTTGACAGGAATGTGTAACGTTCTTCATACACAGTATTTGACGCCTTCAGTGAACAAAGTTTCCCACAGAGAGAGCGGAGATATTTGTAATTTATATTGTTGAGAAAATATCAAAGTTGTGTAATGAAAGAGACGGAACATATTTTTGAGAATTTCCAAATCTGTTTATTATTCTAACATGCTTCTCATCGAATGCCCTGAGCTGATTAAAACCAAATTTGGACTGTAACATCACTAGATAAAGACAGTTATTTCTTAAATGAATGAGGTAGGTACTTACCCGGTGGATGGAGGAATAGGGCACAATAGAGGAAATTTGACTTTTTTTCTTTAAAATTACTTTTTATTTTCTCATTTATAGTTAAGGTAAAGCATTTGACTAAGTTGAGCCCGAGTGATGACAATGCTCACGCTTGAGAAATCGTGTGCATTTTTTTTGGAAACACATCAATGGTTTTGAATTTCGACAAAGCAAAAGTGAAAATGACACAGGCTATAAACGAAAACGAAATTAGAACCAATGGTTTCATCAAAAGGTTATATAAATGTAGAGACCATCTGACGTGACAAGACAGCCAAGTGCGATTTCACACATTGTGTAAGTTGTGATGACAATATGAAAACATGTTTGGGTGCCAGCAGCATCAAGCGCTTCGAAGTGACAAAAAGCTCCAGCTCTTAAGCCTCAAGCAGCAATTAGTTTCGAAGTACAGGCATAAAAATGGTAAATCTTTCCCCAAAACGTGTCGTTTGAATATCTTAGTAAAAATGAACTTTTCCCGCGTTCAGGTCATTGGTACGCTTCCTTTATGATGTCTATACCTTTTGCCGCAGGTCTACTAACGAGATAGGATAACGCGCCCTGTGTACGAGCTGCACCTGCCAAGACTTTGTATAATGTTACACACGTAAAGCATCTGATGCCAGTATTCAAAATAAAACATGATAGATCGGTTACAAATTTATTATACGAAGTCCTCTACACCCTATGAAGAATATGTTCTTGCTTTTCTTACCTTTGAAAAAGTAATGAAAGAATAACGATATTATTGGGAACTTGAATGTGTGTTCGTGGACATTACCAAAACAATTACATATAGGTTTTACGATGATCATCTGGCATTGAATTATCAAAATTCAGCGATATTTGTATTCATTTAATTTATAGGATTGTCTTCTGTTTGTATGTACATGCATCAAACCTTCAAACACTAATTAGACCATCAGAATCGTGCCTTGTAGTATGACGGTCAATGCTCGTCAAAGCCATCTGCTCTCTAGAAAAAGGACAGGTTTCATATACAACGACATACTACCACAAGGCGCAATGTTTGTCAATCATATGATACAAGGATAATTTCCTTTTATTTCAAACGTTGAATTTCATCGCAACAAACAGTTCCATAATTGTAACAAAAGTAAGGTCACGTTTGGAAATGGTGAAAGTAATACAAATCATGACGTAAGCAGAAAACAACAATGATAAAAACAAAACAAAAAACAAAAAAAAACCGCAATACACCCATTATAAAATGCTAATGTTTCAATATAGATTCGAAACTGTTTCTCCTGTCATATGAAAGATTTTTAGGGTATATTTAATCATGAATGATTAATCAAGCTTTATAATGTCTCCTGTTCAAACTTTGATTATCATGAACATGATGTTCATCGTACATTTAACATCTATGTATTGTTATATACACCGACATTGAGGTTGGTTACGGAAATTTTGCTGTATCCCAATTTGCCCAATATTAGAAATAATACTGACAGAGGAGTGTTGATAGAAGGTCATAGATATTTTTAGAGTAATTTACCTATATAAATCTGTGCTTTCACCTGTGGTTACCAGTGGTGTTAGCCTATGTCGCAAGCACATAAAGGTATAGGAATTTGTGTAGTGTAAGATTTAACATAATTTTGTTTATATTAGAAAGGCTTGGCACAAAATCTGTTTCACACTCTTTATGATACAGGTAGATTGAAACAGTTCCCGAATCACTCTTTACATTCAGTTTTATAGTATCTACTGTTCGAGAGCATCTTATATTAAATGAAAATATTCGTCGTTGTAAAATGAGTTTTACCGTCGGTTTGTATGTAGGGTATAGTCAAAAACTGACTTCGAGTTTGACAGTTTAAGTCTGGACAGCGTCCTGACAAATGACCAAGGCAGAAATAAAAATGCTATCTCGATCTGGAGAAGTAACCAGCATGCTGCATTATCATTCATTCGAAAATAGGCGCGGTTCAGAATGTACACGTGTATTTCACGTTCATTAAGAAATCATCAGACATATGAAAAATACTTAATTTATTAAATTAAGGGGTTAGTGTACTCTCACATTTCTTTCGATCCTGATTTCCCTTCGTCGACTCCCAGGTTTCATAGTTTAAGCCCTCACTGGCGAGGCTGCATGGTGCAGATTAATTTTCTTATTTGTGCTTGCTCTATCTAATTCTATACTTTGTATTGGAAGGTGCTACTGTAAAATCCTTCGACATAATTTGGAATGTTGTGTGAGAGGACTGGCCTGGAATATGGTACAGTATTAATATTTACGGTAAGAAACGATGTCAACCAAAACTGTAAAGAAGCAGTTTTGATTGGCTGTTTTGTAACACCTTTCATGACGCTACCACTTGTGTTTTAAAACCATGTCTTCGTGCAAAAACAGTCCGAGGATTTCCAAAACAAATGAAACCCTGAAATCATTGATTTCTTTAATATATGACTTGATGTACGGTTTCCACACCCGAACCTACTGTCTTAATGTTTTCCTTTACCTTGGGCTACATCTGGATCAGGCAAACTCCTTCCGATATCATCTTATTACCATCAATCAAGCAACGCATAGACGATCAGGCTAAACAAAATCTATTTAATTCTCTTAATATGTCTAGTAAATGTGATCTCTATCGGTTCTTGGTAGATGATTTGTCACTTCAGTTTTATTTAACCAACTATTTACCAAAACAGCGCAGAATTGTTATCTCTAAACTTCGTTTATCAGCTCATAACCTAGCTATAGAAACTGGTAGATATAGAAATACTGATGGGAATAATAGACTTTGTAATAAGTGTGACCTATTAGAAGTAGAAGATGAATTCCATTTTCTTTTTACCTGTCCCATATATTCCGATCTTAGGAGAAAATACATTAAAATATTACTGGTATCAGCCACCTGTTTTCAAAGTTATAGAATTATTGAACACACATAATTTCAAAGATTTGAATTTACTGGGCAAATACATTATTGAAGCGAACAAACGTAGAAGTATCTGATCATTACCGGGGGTTACATTGTACATTTCTTTTTTCTTATGTTTTTTTGTTGTTGATGATGATGATGATGATGATGATGATGATGATGATGATGTAGTTGGGTTGTCAGTATGTCTCATCATCAGGTATTAATCTAAATTATTGTAACAATGAAAACTGAGTGTTTGTGTCTAAATAGTGTGTATGATGATGTTGTTCCCGTGTGTGTACTATGTATTATATATATTATGTGTGTTATTATATGTTACCGATAAGTTGTATAACTTAAGGAAATAAACTTGATTGATTGAACCTTTCGATTCAATGGTTCTGGATTATCCATTAACTGGCTAGTTATAGCTTGCACGATGTTTACCTAATGTTATGTCTTTTTCTGACATCGCGTGCATTTGATCGTTTCAGGTGAAGCCATTCAAGCCGATAGCGATCTAAAGGTATGGGTGGCCTTGCTGGGAGGCTTTTTCGGAAACCTTGCCAACCCACTACAGCTTGGAGGCGCTGTAAACAAAGCAAAATCAGAACTGACGAAAAGGGGAGCGAAACACATTTTCCTGGCTGGACACAGTCTTGGGGGTAAGCGAGGAATTCGGAAATTGAGTTCACAGTAACCAAACACTTTTGACATTTTAATCAAAATACGTAAAAACAGTATTTTCCTTTTTCCTGACTTCTTTGTCCAAATTGCGCATTAGTGATTTTTCTGTTTCATCATTTTATTCGAATTAATCAAGCCTATGTTATTATTAAACTGATCACAATACATACATACATTGTATGTATTACGTCATGTCCTTTGTAATACCAGTTAATGTGTCTCTTTACGTTGACGTCATGTCAGTCATTTTTAATACAAGGTTAGCGGAGTATTATTTCCTTAGATTCACGTTCATTTCTTTTTTGATGTTAATAGGACAGCTAACTGCAAACTATGTCTTGAACCACTATAGAGGACTTTCGGGAGCTCTCTTGTTTGCTTCGTACTTGCCTCGCAACGTCGAACCCACGTCATATCCGGTTCCGGTGCTTACTATCGCCGGAGACCTGGATGGTTTAGTCAGATTGACAAGGATACAAGAATCTTACGAGTGAGTTTGATTTTAATCCAAGTATTTTTCAGTTTTTACTTTTTTGTCCCTAACGACTTACTAGCATTTTGTCGCAATAATCCTTTACTTTTTAACAGAGAGTGTTCCTTCTAGCTGTGTGAAGTTAGCTCAACATACGACATTCGACATTAGACATTCAGAATTTGAATGTTGTGCCAGCTCGACATTAGACATTCAGAATTTGAATGTTGTGCCAGCTAGACATTAGACATTCAACATTCAGAATCTGAATGTTTTGCCAGCTCGACATTAGACATTAGACATTCAGAATTTGAATGTTGTGCCAGCTCGACATTAGACATTAGACATTCAGAATTTGAATGTTGTGCCAGCTCGACATTTGACATTAGACATTCAGAATTTGAATGTTGTGCCAGCTCGACATTAGACATTAGACATTCAGAATTTGAATGTTGTGCCAGCTCGACATTAGACATTAGACATTTAGAATTTGAATGTTGTGCCAGCTCGACATTAGACATTAGACATTCAGAATTTGAATGTTGTGCCAGCTCGACATTAGACATTCAGAATTTGAATGTTGTGCCAGCTCGACATTAGACATTAGACATTCAGAATTTGAATGTTGTGCCAGCTCGACATTAGACATTAGACATTCAGAATTTGAATGTTGTGCCAGCTCGACATTTGACATTAGACATTCAGAATTTGAATGTTGTGCCAGCTCGACATTTGACATTAGACATTCAGAATTTGAATGTTGTGCCAGCTCGACATTAGACATTAGACATTCAGAATTTGAATGTTGTGCCAGCTCGACAGTAGACATTAGACATTCAGAATTTGATTTTTGTGGGTTGTTGTCACTAGAGATTAGACATTCAGAATTTGAATTTTGTGCCAGCTCGACATTCAACATGACATTAGACAATCAGAAAGAATTTGAATGTTGTGCCAGCTCGACATTAGACATTAAACATTCAGAATTTGAATGTTGTGCCAGCTCGACATTAGACATTAGACATTCAGAATTTGAATGTTGTGCCAGCTTTGAATTTGAATGTTGTGCCAGCTCGACATTTGACATTAGACATTCAGAATTTGAATGTTGTGCCAGCTCGACATTAGACATTAACATTCAGAATTTGAATGTTGTGCCAGCTCGACATTTGACATTAGAATTTGAATGTTGTGCAGAATTTGAATTTGTTGTGCCAGCTCGACATTAGACATTAGACATTCAGAATTTGAATGTTGTGCCAGCTCGACATTAGACATTAGACATTCAGAATTTGAATGTTGTGCCAGCTCGACATTCAACATTCAGAATTCGAATGTTGTGCAGACATTCATTAGAATTCAGAATTTGAATGTTGTGCCAGCTCGACATTAGACATTCAACATTCAGAATTTGAATGTTGTGCCAGCTCGACATTTGACATTAGACATTCAGAATTTGAATGTTGTGCCAGCTCGACATTAGACATTAACATTCAGAATTTGAATGTTGTGCCAGCTCGACATTAGACATTAGACATTCAGAATTTGAATGTTGTGCCAGCTCGACATTCAACATTCATTGTTGTGCCATTAGATATTAGACATTCAGAATTTGAATGTTGTGCCAGCTCGACATTAGACATTCAACATTCAGAATTTGAATGTTGTGCCAGCTCGACATTAGACATTCAACATTCAGAATTTGAATGTTGTGCCAGCTCGACATTAGACATTATACATTCAGAATTTGAATGTTGTGCCAGCTCGACATTTGACATTAGAGAATTTGAATGTTGTGTCTAATGTCGACATTGGCACATTATTCAAATTTGAATGTTGTGTCCAGCTGGCACAACATTCAAATTCTTTGAATGTTGAATGTCTAATTCAGTTCGAGCTGGCACAATTATTCAAATTCTGAATTTGAATGTTGTGCCAGCTCGACATTAGACATTCAACATTCAGAATTTGAATGTTGAATGTCTAATGTCGAGCTGGCACAACATTCAAATTCTGAATGTCTAATGTCTAATGTCGAGCTGGCACAACATTCAAATTCTGAATGTCTAATGTCTAATGTCGAGCTGGCACAACATTCAAATTCTGAATGTCTGAATGTCTAATGTCTAGCTGTTGCACAACATTCACATTCTGAATGTCGAATGTCTAATGTCGAGCTGGCACAACATTCAACTTCTGAATGTCTAATGTCTAATGTCGAGCTGGCACAACATTCAAATTCTGAATGTCGAATGTCTAATGTCGAGCTGGCACAACATTCAAATTCTGAATGTTGAATGTCTAATGTCGAGCTGGCACAACATTCAAATTCTGAATGTTGAATGTCTAATGTGGCACAATATTCAAATTCTGAATGTTGAATGTCGAATGTCTAGCTGGCACAACATTCAAATTCTGAATGTTGAATGTCTAATGTCGAGCTGGCACAACATTCAAATTCTGAATGTTGAATGTCTAATGTCTAGCTGGCACAACATTCAAATTCTGAATGTGTCTAATGTCTAATGTCGAGCTGGCACAACATTCAAATTCTGAATGTTGAATGTCTAATGTCGAGCTGGCACAACATTCAAATTCTGAATGTTGAATGTCTAAAGTCGAGCTGGCACAACATTCAAATTCTCAATGTCTAATGTCTAATGTCGAGCTGGCACAACATTCAAATTCTGAATGTTGAATGTCTAATGTCGAGCTGGCACAACATTCAAATTCTGAATGTGTCTAATGTCTAATGTCGAGCTGGCACAACATTCAAATTCTGAATGTTGAATGTCTAATGTCGAGCTGGCACAACATTCAAATTCTGAATGTCTAATGTCGAGCTGGCACAACATTCAAATTCTGAATGTTGAATGTCTAATGTCGAGCTGGCACAATATTCAAATTCTGAATGTTGAATGTCTAATGTCTAGCTGGCACAACATTCAAATTCTGAATGTTGAATGTCTAATGTCGAGCTGGCACAACATTCAAATTCTGAATGTCTAATGTCTAATGTCGAGCTGGCACAACATTCAAATTCTGAATGTTGAATGTCTAATGTCGAGCTGGCAAAACATTCAAATTCTGAATGTTGAATGTCTAATGTCGAGCTGGCAAAACATTCAAATTCTGAATGTTGAATGTCTAATGTCTAGCTGGCACAACATTCAAATTCTGAATGTCTAATGTCTAATGTCGAGCTGGCACAACATTCAAATTCTGAATGTCTAATGTCGAATGTCGTATGTTGAGCTAACTTCACACAGCTGTTCCTTCTTACCATTCGCCAATCTTTTACTGTCCATCGAACATCTTTCTTGACAAAGTAACAGTTTAATGTGATATACTTGGAGTAATGATCATTAAAAATGACACGAAAAATACTTAATGAGCACCGATATTCCTTCACCTTACCGATTTAGTTTATAAATAATTTGGGGTCCATACCACGCATGCGTGTATAGCTCAAAAACTACTCGAATGAAGATAATGCTAAGATATGTCAAGTCACTCAACAATATATACTTAACTCTTACAGATTTTAATCTCTCTCTCTCTCTTTCTCTCTCTCTCTCTCTCTCTCTCTCTCTCTCTCTCTCTCTCTCTCTCTCTCTCTCTCTCACGGTGTATATTTCTCACCGAATTTAGGGGGTTGGTCCCAGACGTACAAAGGAACAAAAGCGCCATGTACCGAACGCCAGTTATAACTGTCGAGGGAGTCAATCATGGACAGTTTGCTTCCGGTCCTATGCCTAGTGAGGTTTTGGCTTACGACCTGGAACCGGAAGTGACCAATGTGACGGCCTATTCCCTAATTGCGAAATATACCAACGCTTTCATGGCAGCAAATATTCCAGCCGAAAGTACTGTAGTAGCAGACGCACGAAAAGTTCTGCTAGAGGGATACACGGCGACAGGATATATCATGGCTGTAAGATCACGTAGATGGGTTACAAGGTTATATTTGTATCTGTAGCCATTTCGTAAAATCCGATTTTTATGTATCTTCACATTAGGTTTTTTCATTTTTCAATATTTGTTTATTAAAAACATGTATCTTAGGGGGAAAATCGCGTACAAACAGCTACAAAAGTTTTCAATTCTAAGCAAGATACTCGTAAAATTGGGAAGTACATATAGGAATAGCGGGGTGGTCGTAATACTGAAACGACCAATACAAAGATATATAGTGAAAAAAAAACGAGACTAAAAAAAATGCCCGTAATAGCGTGGTGGTTGTAATTTTGAGGTGGTCGTTAGGTGAGGTTTCACTGTATTTGCGTTTTTGTTTCATGTACATCCTTGTTGTAGAAATACTGTATAAAGCATATACCAATATTGTATACGAAATAATGTTCATTTAGCAGAAAACTGAAACATGAAATCATTTAAATTGGTTAGATGTGTGTGATGGATATTTAATTAATGTGTTTGCATATACATGTTATATTCTGTTTACCAGCCGCTAACGAACATGAAGAGCGTTTCAACAAACCCTCTACACGTGTCCAAATGGACAAGCGAGGCCCAGACGGTTCTGATGGGACTCCGAGACACATCAAAAGTCAGGGTATGTGTATATATAAGGTTTTATGAATGATATAGAATAATCACTGGAAGAAACGTTTACATCGCTGTTAAATAATCAAAACACGAATACTGTAATAAGATGTGAAAAAGGAGGGTAATTAATTTATACCAGTCAAATAAGTACGAAATTTAATACGAAGTAGGATAAAGAAAATGAGGGAGATTTCATTTATAGTGTGTCAGTCTGTCTGTCTAGCTGCCTGTCCGTCCGCCCGTCTTCATTGTATTCATCTCTTATATTGTTTTATTTTATCAGATTATAAACAAAGTGGTATCCGAGAATCAACTGCTCAACTCCATACCGGAAATGACGTTTAAAGATGGCATGTTGACGATAACAACGTACACACAAGTGTCGTTCCAGCTGAACCCGCTAGACGTATCAACCTTCTACATGTCTCCAGTGCAACTACAGGCGGAGATGAAATCACGTGACGCTATCAAGGCGTTCCTTCCAAATGAGACCTACATGGCAAACAATGAGAGTTGTAATTTAATCAACGAGGTATTATCCTATATCGGTTACCTCCCCTGATATGCATGCCCTCACCATTATCATAATATGGAAAATTGTATGAGGTTTTCCTTAACACCTCTGACCATTTCTGGGCTAAACAAAATTATCAAATATCTCAAACTAGGTTGTAAATTACATTTATTTACATAGTCTAATCCCGGGAAACTTAATTATCGGTTGTATTTTAGCGCGTACATTAATTCATTGAAATTACTTTCTGTTTTATTTAAATATTAGATTTGAAATATCAGTAATTATTTAAATAAGTGACTTTGTTCGTTGTAATGAACAGGTGTTATTATATACATTGACAATCGGAACTATATTCCTACGCGGAGCAATTATTTGGGCGATAAGCCATCTGGCCTGCACGTAACGGTGATGTCAGGAACACTAGGTTGTAAAGATTCAATAGTCTGTATTTTCAATCAAGGTTGTAGAATAGAAAATATAATCAGTGTCTCAAAATCTAAGTTGTATTTTTTGTCTCAGGACAGAAAGACATTGACAGCTCGACATTTTTTTTAATTTCTTCTATTTCACCAAAACAGTGCATGCTTACATTTAAGTCACTTGTCCATGTGTTCTCTGTAAACATGCACGGCACTATTTTTGTTTTTCTGTAACGAAGTATTTCTGTAGTAAATCAAGATAGGACTACAAAAAATCGTTCTAATTTATTTTGATAACTCGTACATTAATATCATTTCACTATAGGCTGCACTACAGTATGCACTGGGCCAGGCGTCTCCCCTCGCCGTCAGTCGTTTCGGAAAGAGAGGTCGCCCCGTGGTATCTGAACAAGACGTTGTCCTCCCCAGTGTCCAAACATGGCTGCTTCAGGTAAACCCACATTTTTATTTTTTTTTAATTCGGATACAGTAATTTAACAGTTAAGTTGAACAAATTGCCAATAATATCACACAGCCAACAAGTATATTTACAAACCAATGACGCAGACTCAACATATGATACCAGTTATTGCTACTCAAAGTAAATCTTTTCTTTGTAATTTCACAATCTGATAGAAAAAATCGAAAGCAAAAAAATGAAACCAAAAAAACTGTACTGATATAACGGATTTCGTTCTCTATATAATGTCCAACCGCCTGTGTCATTGTGATTCTATAGATGTTTTTTATACTAGGGAAAGGATTTGGACAAGTTTAACAACTTGTGCCTAATATCGCTCCTTTCAAAAGGCAATAAATAAGTCTCCGGCATAGAATATCGACGATGTTTGTGACTAGACTAGGGGAAATAACTCGGCTTTACCTGTCGCTAGTAATCATAATTCAGAGACCAGTAAATCTTCTAGTCTTAACAAGATATGTTTCATTCCAGGAATTGTTGTATGAGGACGACCAAGATGGCGTTCATGTGACATCAGAATCATACCAGGTGAAATACGACCCCTCCAAGGCGAGCACGACAGGTCTGTACTTCTGTAAGCTACTAGCTCCGTACCGGGCGATGGAATGGATATATGTGGATGGCCTCAGGAAGTTAGACGGATTTAAACATCTAGAATCTATTCTGGAAGACAAGTTGTAAATTTGAACTAGACGTACACCATGTTTCACACAGTATTCGAATTTAAATAAATATCTGAATGTTTTGTTGGTTTTTATTCCGTTTGTTGTATCGGTTCTATAAATCGGGATTGTTTAACAAACCTTTTTTTTTTTTTAATTTACAAAGATTTTGAAAAGGTGTAAGGATGCTGCGATCGATCACGCCTACGCGACCTGCGTCGAAGTTTGGAGGTGTATGATGCTTTGCTCCCTACCATTGGCAGATTGTGTTTCTGAGAAACGGACTGGTCTGTGCTGTCGGAGATTTGTCAATGGTTGAGACACTTGACCCTTATTGCCATGAACGGCATGCGATGTGTTTCCCGTATATTGTTCATTGAAGTAGTCACCAATTACTACAAGGATACCAGGCCTCAAAGTGACAGTGGCTTCTTCACAAGGCGATAAATCAAGCAGGAATACTAGATGAGATTTTCAAAAACACGGTACAAGATAGAGAGGGTGGGGAGATCTCTATTCGATACACGTAATCGGATAAAATCAGTATAAAGACTAACCTCTGTTTTCAGTACTTTAATGCTGATCACGTCCTGTAACTCGATTCTGACACGTTCGACCAATCGTAAAAAGTAATCTCTCTTGAACTGTTTAAAACATTAAAGTATTATGATTGATAACAACTTTTACATAAACATTCACAGGATTGCGTATAAATGAAAAAGAAAAAACAGAAAATCCTGGTCTTGGTGTACTTTTTATTTTTATAAATTTACTTGAAATTTAATCAACAGTTTACATAAATAACGAGTTATACATTAAAAAAGTGTACCTTGATATCACACTTCCTGTAACAGGTATAAATAAGTTTATATTATAAAAACGTAGTTCACCGATGTTGTTGCAACATGATGTAAAATGTTCTGGCAGAGTGTACACATCAGGTGATTTATTCACACAGCGGTCACAGCGACGATGCAAGACATTGTAGAATAAGGTCTGTTTTTCTTCTTATGATATATATAAAGAATATTACTTACTGTAAATATCTTATTTTTCGGTGATCAAGTGATTTTATGTCATCCTCGGTACAGGATAAAATATCTTCTCTACATTTTTCTCATTATCTACAACACCAGTCTGGGGCAGTAAGGATTGAATACCTAGGAATAGTATAGATGACGACTGGGAACTGGAAGATTTCGCAATCAACATGTACGGAATCTATCTGTACACACATTTGTTGTTCCTTACCCAAACAAATGTCCATGGAAATGAGAGTTAAGAACGATAATTCTGGAATAGAAATTCATTATCTTCCCAGAGATGTAGTTCCTTACAATCTCAGCGAGTGCCGATTTCTCCCAGAGTGCATTGCGGTATCCCATATGACACACAGAAGTGAGAATAAGGAACGATAACTCTGGGAAGCAATTGGTATAAGGATAAATATTATTATATAAAATAAATAACAAATTATACACGTGTTTTAATATGATGATTTAAGTAGTATCACGTGTCAAAGTGAAAACGTATTGCGCGAAAATAAAAGTGAACGTGGTCCTAGGAAAGGACATTGCGTTCAGTAATACTGATTGTGAACATTACCATGTTATTATACAAAATGATTCATTGGTCTACGTATACGTTCATCATAACAAATATAAATGAAATATTTACATCGTACAGATATTTAGGTATATATCTAAATTTTGCATACACACGCGTGATTTTTATTTAATCTTAAGTTAGATATAGCGAAAATTGAACAAGCACAATAAAAAATGCGCTGGAATATTTTGCGGCGTTTAAAAGTTTTCATCTTTAAATATTTTGAAAAAAAAATCTTTATATACTTTACTTATAACATTTAAATAGAAAAACCACTAATAAAAATGTAGAGTGCATCTATAGATTTAGTCAAACATGTGGTTCAACACACCATCATTGATACGGCATATGGTGATGCTTTCTACTTTGCAATATTCTAACTGCAAATCCGATTTATTATCATGTTTCCCAATCGCAACATTTCGGGGATGTTTCCGACGATCTTCGTAAACTTTCCAAAGGTTGCCGGAAATTTCACCTAGATTAGGTCGGGTCAAACGTCTGAAGGACGTCGTTTCGACATGGTATTTAGCTAGTGCAACTACATGTACTTATATATGCATGACGTTTCTTTTATATATAATTTAACAAAGAAATTGAAATCTATCGGTCATTAAAAACTGTATCGATGTACACATGACCCCATGACGTCATAATTGTTACTGTAAAGATCACAACGCTTCATAATTAAAATGACTGTTCTTTCCAAATAAACACACAATCGTTGATAAACAGCTAGCTTTAAGTTTTAATTAAACAGAAATTGGCACCTAACACCAAAATAAGTAAGGAAAGCCAATATAAGCATTGAACTGTCTTGTGACATTCAAAATCGTTATAAATGATATACCTTTGAAGGCAAAGGTGAAATATGACGACTCTGAATACACTATCAGGACAGCTCAATGTTTATGATATTTTTGTAGAAAAATACAGAGTTATCTCCCTTCCATTGTTTTCTGATATCGACATTCACGGAATACCTTACAATAATGAAGTATGTTGTGGTCACCTCTGGAAACTTAGAAACTATGACATTACTGATGTTAGTAAATATACAATGTATGAAACACCGATCCCTTCCGAGCCTTCACAAACCGCCTACAATTATCCCTGTCATTACAACAGACATTTGTATGAGAACTAACGACCCCCACCCCCACACCCTGCCCTCTACCCCAAAAACCAAAGGGAGGATTCCTTCATATTAAGTTTCCAAATTCATGTAAATTAACACAGATAACACACGCTTCCTTTTTAATTCTGATCGACAGTTACCGCCGTAGCTTTCGGCGTCGCCCCCATGTGACTTCCTCTCCTACCCGACTCATCTTGTCTATTGACGTCAGTCGATGGTGCTGTGACGTCACCGTCAATAGTCAGAAGAGGTGTTTTCGGACGAAGCATTGGCGTTGTAACAGAGTTGGCCTCTAATTCTAGTTTTGCTTCTTTTGCCTTTCGTTCTTCCGCTTCCGCAAGTATTTCAATAAAACTCAACCGAGAAGGAGCTTGTCGACTTTTAAAGTCGGAGATAACACTTGCTCGTCCTCCTCGGAGGTCCATTGATGAGAAATCACTTTCGTTATCTTGATAAGAACTTGCATTTTTTCCAGATTTGACTGTTTTTCTAGATTTTGAAGAGGCCAGCTTGCCAGAGGTAGTATTCAATGCACTTAACTGAACTCCGCTATTCCGGGAATTATTCATATTTGCGCGGGAATTTACCAGTCCACTCCGTGGTTCTACCATTCCACTTCTAGCGCTCACCGACCCATCAATGAAATCATTTCGAGAATTTAGTGCGCTATTCCGCGAATCTAGTAAACTATTTCTTGAGTTTACTTTCTCTTGTCTTGAGTCCACTAAACCGTTTCTTGAGCTTGAACTCACCACCACATGACTCCGCGAAGGAACAAAACTTGTACGAGATGTAAAACTTGTTCGAGGGGTAGGGGTTGAATCTCCCACAGACGGATATATTGGCTTCAGTGTAACTTTCCGCACGGGTTCTTTTTTGCTTTTGGGATTAGCTGACATACCATATATGGTAAAGGGCTCAATGTCTGTTGTTGTGTTCTTTGCAAATGCAAGGCGTGGAGACGCTATCGTTGACATACTTAATTTTGTGCGCAGCAGTTGTGTTTCTTTACCTAGATCTTTCAGAACGACCTTTTGTGCTTTCTCGTACATTAACATCTCGCGAGATAATCTATTATTAGCCCGATTGTTGTTTCTAAGGACGCCATCGTTGTATTCTGACCTTTGGATCTGGTCACCATACACGATTTTCTTTGGACGCTTGGCCATCATGCACGCAATGTTCAATAGCGTCTCTGATGACGCGACAGACTTGTTGACTTACGTCATGAAATGTTCAACCGTGTCTCTGATGACGTGAAAGGCTTGTTGTCTTACGTCATGCAATGTTTAACTGTGTCTCTGATGACGCGACAGGCTTGTTGACTTACGTCATGCAATGTTTAACTGTGTCTCTGATGACCCGACAGGCTTGTTTACCTATGATACATCATAACTTCATCTGTGAATGAAAAGAAACAAAATTTAAAATACATAGAAATAACATTGAAATAGCAACAATACTCAAGTAAAGGATTTGTGGAAAATACAAATTTATTTTAGTATGTCTAAACCTACAGGAATACATCTACATGTACAGATGCCTTCTTCTCTAACATGAGGTCAACATATAAGACCACTGTACCATGGTGACAGAAAAGTAAATAGAGCCACATTTTAAAAACATTTTGAAATGTGAATTAAACAACAATGTAAATAAAATGTTTCGGTTCATATGCGATATAATTAGCTGAAAAAAAAAGTTTATATCAACGAAAATTAGTTTTCGTGATTTCAAGGTCGGTGATTAAACTGGCTGTATATTCCTGCAGAATCAATTAACATTGCAGCTACCAGGACAATTCAAATGTAAAAATATCTATTTAGTCTACATGATGTTTGATGTTTAAAGAAAATTAATCGATATTGATACGCTATAGTCTTCACGGTAGACTACTTCACGACTACAATAATATAACAATTATATGATACAAAACAGCTTTAAGTCGCTGTGATCAGACACTACAGTATAATTAGTATCATAGAACTACAAAAACAATTTCCCATTGCTGGAAAAAATTCACATGATTTCATGCAAAACATACTGAAGACCATTTTTTTTTCAAAAACAGTCGATTAAAGAAATGCTTTAAAACCACTGCGATGCAAACACCTCAATAACATTGAAGGTGTACAAGAAAAATACACTTTATAGACAACAGAATGACAAGAATACAGCATTTGTGTAACTCCTGAACGAAGCATCGTAACCACTGTTAAATGTAACTCTCAGATACCTTATGTCAAAACAGAAAGTTATCGAAGAAAGGTTCAAAAAGTACGGAAGACCAGTTGCCATTTTAATTTTCACATGGGAATGACATCAAAATAAAATTAAAGGATAAGAATATCATTGCCCTTTAATATCGGTTGATACATGAGACACGTATCATCAACTTATCACAAGAAAATATCGACCACGGGCTGTGCTAATCAAAAACACGTATTTGTATTGTCTATGGAATAACGATTTTTAGTTTAATTCAATTTAGTTTAAAAAGTATTATCAGTTTTAACAGACTGGTTTAAAACGTGGCATTTCTATACTGCATTTAATAGATTGTTCACGATTTGTTCTTTTTTCCACTTTTTTTCTGTTGTTTTAGTTTCATATTACACACACCGCTCAATTATAAACTGAAGGAGAAGACGTAGCACGCTGTGCCCAACCCTAGTGTCGCTATTTTTGGCAAAGATGTTGAAGCTAACCTTAACAAAACAAAACTTATGATCACTAACGATTCTTGGAATATGCCCAGAAATTTTTTATGACCTCTAGGATGTTGAACCTACGGCTTACAAGTGTGAATTGAAAATTGTTTATGCAATGTATTGTATTATAACACAGCACTGATGCAACTTATTAACAAATCGTGCCAATTGAAGACTTATTTATATCTATTTAGTAAACACGAAAATTTTACTACTATGTAAATCAATTCTTACCGCATGATACAGACTTTTTACATCTAAGTGTACGGCATTAAAACCACAGATACCTTTAAACTGATGGAACAAAATACCAGAGTCCATTGCAAAACTTAACATTGTGATCCGAGCATGTAACACCGCCTAACTCCTACTAGATAGTACGACGTAATGGTACGGTGATACTATTGTCGACACTCGCTGGGCACTCGCCAAGTGTATAGTTAGCCTGAGTATTATACGTAGCGCTAAGTAGAAATACACTAAAAAAGGTCATTATTGACTTTACTAAAGCATCAAATTTCTATCAAAATAGCTGTGATCATAACTAACTTGAGATATAAGCATAGCTCGTTATCTCGAACTCTCATAACTCGAAGACTCTCTATAATTCGAAATATTTTGTCGGTCCCGGCCAAATTTAACACTAAACATTCGATCTTACTTAAATCGAATAATCAGATAACCCGAAGTTTTCCCACGGTCACGCTGACTTCGAGACAACGAGGTTCGACAGGATTTAAGTATATAACATATAATATATTTTAATTTTCATGTATTTCGAACTTAATTTGCCACTCTTAATTTGAGATATACATTTTCTTTATATATATAATTCCACTTACAGGAACCAGCAATTCGAAGAGAATGACAACAAAAAACGTCGTGAATTAAAAACAAAGTCCAAAAGTAATATAGCTAGAGACAGCTGGTCGTGGAAAACATAATTTCATTCGTAAATACAGAGTTTACAAAGGTACATATAGCTATAAACAGGCATTTTCTACAACAGGTTTAACAGAACTAAGTCTTCAAGTAAGTCCCAATTTGGACAGCTAGCACATGTAGAAATAAGAACAGATGTTAAAGGTTAACAGTAGGTACCAATAGTGAACAGAACGAAAACAAATGTCAAACCAAACATTAAGGGATTTTTTTTCAGAGTTTTATTTTCCACAGCTTAAGTCAATACATCTGCATGGATTATCATAGAGAGTATTGCAATACCGTTAAAAATACGTTTTAATATGTTGAAACAGGCATTTCTCTCTGAAAACTGATATAAATTATCTCTATAAGAACATGCATGTATATCTCTCAGGAATTCGGAACAGAAGCCTGCCCTACGTCTCATAACTTTCCATCTAAGAGCATTGCAAGAGTGTATGTTTGGGCTTGTTTGACACATAGAAGATATGCTAGTTCCTCCCCAACTACATATGATTAGGAAACTGAACATAAAATAACAAATGGCCGACACACTTAAACATCTTCAGGCTACGATATATAAGTACGTGTATAAGCCACAGGTGGTCCAAGTTTGATTTTAAATATTGATAAAACTCTTTTTAGATGTTTTATACCCATTAAATATGTATCACAAATAGACTGTTCAAACAATAGATATACACATTTGAATGAGTATGTGCAATGCTCGAGAGTTCTCCACAGGATGCCAGACATTAAAAACAAAAACATTCTGGTTCTATCTTTTTAAGAGTTGGCAATGTTTCGAAGTCTTGGCACAGATGTTGACAAACTCGCCAGCGAATCAAGGGATCAAAGTATCGGGTTGATGAGGGAAAGCGAGACACAACATTATAAACCGTTGTCAACACCACCTGCAAAAAACCTCTTGTTTCGTCCGATTGTCACCAAAGGATCTACCGAAGTCACGGGGCCAATACGTAAATACAAGCAGTGAGGAAAATGACAGATTTTGAGTTTTATCATGTAATATTTTGAAGAGTTAGTCCTTTAAGCAGCGAACGGTCACCAGATAATAATATACATAAAATCTGAATACTATGCAGGTGACAAATAAACAGAATGTCGCCCGTAAAGTGTTGACTGTCAGATCGAGGTCCAGAAGACGACGACATCAACAAATTTGAATAATCTCGTTCATGACGGTACTAATAAGGATTTTGTGGTAAGTGACATGTTTCACAATAAATTTGTGTCATAATTTCAAAGCTTCGTAAAATATCGTTTGATACTTGCGGAGATCTCTAACAATTTCGAACATGTCCGCATTTTGATACCGAAAACGACAGTGGACCGATTTTTGCTTACCTGGGAGACATCGGACTGTATTCCTACTCAGACCAAATCACTATGAATTGTAGTATATACAGTCCTGTTTGATTTGAAACTGCAACATCACGTTTTACTCACTTTTGAAAAGATGTGTGACTAACTGGATGGATAGGTTAGAATGCATGATGGCAACTCCACTGAGTAGTTCAAGAGACGGATGCACAACAGCATGATGGGAAGAACATCCCTGTTCAAAAAATGACAGACTGACGGAATACGTAGTATGAAGGGCCCGTGACCTTGTAGGACACACGAGGGAATTAAAAGTGTAAAGCCCAAGAGGGAAAAATCCCCAGTTGTAAATTTTTTCTTGCCTCGCCGATTGTATTTTTCTCACTCTCTGTAAATTCTTGGTTTCATTGCAAAATAATGGAACAATATAGCTGAATGAGATATTTGTACAATGTGTCTTTATCACACGACCTCAAGCTATTCTTATTTCACAATGTATATATAGCTGCCTATCGGTCGTTCTTTTTCCTTTCTATAACGACAGCCGATGTAGTTTATCTCAACTCTGATGACAAATAGTGGGCTATATTGAAATATAACAGTTATACGAGGTCTTATCAAAGAACAAATGATAACGGTTTGAGCCGTACTTAAGTACAATGCATTATGGGGATTACGCGCTAAAATCTTTTAAGAACGAAACTATACCGATGGCTGTATTGATACTTATATAGAAAAAAATCTTTCAGTGTAAAAACAAATAAATAAAAGAAAAAGAAAAGATTGCAAAACAGAGGATTAAAAATTTGTGAGGTCATGAATGAGCTGTTGGTGATATACAGTTATCTTGGATTCCATTAAAGGAAATGTGTTATTGTGATGTAAACACCGCATTTATCATATACAAGGCATTAGCAAACTATCAAACCGATAAAGTCAAGTGGACATTTATGAGAAAGGACAGCAATACACTTTATTGTTAATCATTATCACAGGCTGGCTGTCCTTCTCGACATTTGTAGGAGACTTGAAATCCAGCCGTCTGGGCGAAATACAATACCATATTAATCACTTACAATCGATATCGGATGGATATTTCAGTATCACAGCCCGAATTCTTTTTTCACAACTTAGAAACCAAATATGTTTTCATTGTGTAGAAACGTTACAGTATCTACATATAAAATGGTGTA